GGCGTGACCCCGCCCACTTATGACCACATATGTGTATCTCGGTAACCGTTCGATCAATGTGTACCAAACTCAGTATGATTATTGTGGTTGCCCCATAAAGGCAAAACGTTGAAAGTTATTGAAATCTGACNGTTTTTGTAATTCATTTTTGATCCTTTCTTCTGTGACTGGCCAGATATACGTCTTATCATTGCACTTACATAATATTCCAGGGACCGAAAATAACAGTTATTTTCTTTACGAGATAAACTTGGCCTGATATTTTTTATTCCGAAAGTTTTTTCTGGATAATAAACAAACAGCTTATCAAAATTAAACAAATTTGGTATCACGTGAAAGAGGACTGAAGTAGCTTTTAAACAGAATGAACGATCGAAGGTTACCACCTCTATTTATATATTTTTCTATATCATTTAATACTAAAGAAATTCATATACCTGACCCAACGTTTGTTCTATGATAATTAATTAACATTTTTTATTGAAATATTTTTCAATAGGTGACTTTGCTCGTTTGGATATTTCAGTTTTAAAGCTATTTAAGTCCTCTTTCATTTGATACCAAACTTGTTTAATGTTGTTGTTGTTGTTGTTGTAGCGGCTACAACAACCCCGCCCAGATCGGTTGGTATCTCAGTCGTTGTCGTCAAGTTCCACTAACGGCAACCCTAGGAAGCGTGCAGCTTCTGCGGGATCTGTCCACAGGGACAAGGCCGTTAGGGTTGTCGGGTTTTCCGGGCATGCGAAGAGATGGTTCGAGTCATGTGGGGTCTCTCCGCATGCCGGACATTCGTTCGGCACATCCTCATTCAGCCTACTCAAGTAGGAGTTTAACCTGCTGCAGTAGCCGGAGCGAAGTTGAGCGAGTGTAGTGCGTGTCTCCCGAGGCAGATGAAGCTCTGTCTCGTCAATGTCCGGGGGTGGTATGCCTAGAACGGCATTCACAGGTCTAGAGTCTACATAACTCGAGACTGAGTCCCTGTGAATGCCGTTCAGGGCCTGTCTGTACGCTGTCGGGTCCAGAGGTTGCTTAATGAACCTCTGGACTTCGTCCGTCAGTTCATATAGATGCCTCCTGACGTGCCTAGGCGAGGGCTCCTCTGCAAGCAGCTGTCTGTTTGGGTGGCCACTTCTGTGGCTCCCGATCAGGAACTGCTTGCAGAGCATTATATTGTGCTCCTTTACAGGGAGCATTTGCGCCTCGCCGTGCAGGTGGTGTTCAGGCGACATCAAGAGGCATCCCGTCGCTGTCCTGAGTGCGGTGTTCTGTACAGTCTGTAGCTTCGTCCACTGCGTCCTACTAGTCCCTGGCGACCACACTGGCGCTGCGTAGTTCAAAACCGGCCGGCCTATTGCCTTGTATGTTGCCAGCAACGTTTCTTTGTCTTTGCCCCAAGTACTGCCGGCTAGCGACTTGAGGACCTTGTTGCGGCTCTGTACTTTATTGACAATAGCGGTTGAGTGCGCAGAGAAGGAGAGCAGGCTGTCGAAAGTTACTCCGAGTATTTTGGGGTTATTCACCGTCGGAATTGGTGTGTCATCGACGTGAATCCCCAGCGGTAGCCTGACCTCCTTCGTCCAGGTTGTGAACAGGGTCGCGGAGGATTTCGTAGGGGAGAGGGCTAGACACTTTGCAGTGAAGAAGCGAGAAAGTTCGGAGAGATAGCCGTTTACTTTCGAACACAGGTCATCAATTCCATTCCCAGTCGCCATAATCGAGCAATCGTCGGCATAGGAGACAATCGAGACTCCCTCTGGTGGTTGAGGGAGCTTTGAAATATAAAAGTTAAACAGTAGCGGGGAAAGGACACCACCCTGAGGAACCCCCTGTTTTATTTTTCGCTGCTTACTCGTTTTGTCTCTAAACATTACCGACGAATGTCGACCACTTAGATAATTTGCCGACCACCGTTTGAGCCTCTGTGGGAGAGAGGAGGCCTCTATATCTTCTAGTAGCGTGGAATGGCAGACGGTGTCAAACGCCTTTGACAAGTCCAACGCTACTAGAATCGTTCTCTCACAGGGACGGTTTCGGTTAAGGCCACGAGTTATCTGAGTGGTTATGGCGTTAAGTGCTGTTGTTGTACTGTGCACTTTACGGAAACCATGCTGATGCTTCGCTGGGGTCAGGTGGTTTGTGAAGTACGGGAGTAGCAAGGCCTCGAGTGTCTTCGCTACCGGGGAAAGGAGTGTAATCGGACGATACGAATCTCCTTTGTTGGCAGGTTTCCCCGGTTTGAGCAGTGGGACCACTCTCCCCACCTTCCAGATGTCTGGGATGATGAGAGTGGCCATTGACAAGTTGAGGACCTCCGTTAGGTACGCTACCCCCGCAGGACCCAAATTTTTCAGCATCAGCATGCATATTCCGTCGGGACCCATGGCTTTGGAGGCTTTCGCCTTCCCGATGGCCACCTGAACTTCACCGCAAGTGAAAGCAAGGGGGGCACAATTTGTTGGCAGTTTGTGCAGCCTTCTGGTCACTCGACGCTTGGCTTTGTCCACCGGAGGATGCAGTATGAACTGCCGGCTAAAATAGCTCGCGCATCGCTCCGGGTCCGACGAAGCATGGTCGCCGAAGGAAATTTCGACTCTGTCGTCGTGCTTCGTCGGATTAGACAATGACCTCACGGTTGACCAAAGCTTGCTCACACCAGAGGTGAAATTACAGGTCTTCAGATGCTCCTCCCACTTCTTCCGCTTATGTACGTTTACTAGTTGCCGAATCTCCGCGTTGAGATCCCTGATACGGGGATCTCCGGGATCGGCCTGACGAAGGCTATCACGCTCATCGGCTAGAACAGCCGCTTCGGCAGGGAAGTTTGGACGTGGGTCCGATATACATCCTGCCGGTATGAAGCGAGCTGCAGCAGCAGTGATAGCCCTGCGGAACTTACGTTCACCGAGATGGACGTCGGTTGGTGTGGGGAGCGCTGCGAAGGTGTTTTCGGTAAACTCCGCGTAACCTTTCCAATCAGCTTTAGAAAAGTTGATATAGGTCCGGTGTTTGGCGGAGGCAAAGTCGGTTGGTTTATCAATCGAGATGACTATGGGTAGATGGTCTGATGCTAGAGTCAGCATAGGTCGCCACGTTATGCTGTTTATCAGACCAGCGCTGACTATTGTGATGTCTGGCGAGCTACTGCAGTTACCCATAATCCTGGTGGGTGCGTCGTCGTTCATTGTGCAGAATGTCGAATCGTCTATCTGCTCAGCCAAGTCTGTTCCCCTACGATCGTTTGACAGGCTTGAGTGCCAAAGATCGTGGTGCGCATTAAAGTCACCTACTACCATACGGTTTTCACCTCTGAGGAGCGCACCTATATCAGGGTGATATCCTGCCGGGCAGCAGGTGACAGGGGGTATGTATATGTTAAATATTTCGAGCTCGACATCGCCTGACCGGATAGCGATGCCCTGACATTCTAGGGTGGTATCCCTGCGGTCGATGTCTGCTTCGATAAGACGATACTGCACGGTGTGGTGCGTGATGAACGCTAAGCCACCACCATTATCTCGCTCGCGATCTCGACGGTGCACGTTGTACCCGGCGCAATTCAACAAAGTTGAATTGCTGTGCAGCTTCGTCTCTTGGACCGCAGCTATTAATATTAATCTTGTTTAATTTAGATAGGCGGTTTGTTTATTGTCCGGAAAGGACTTTTAGTTGGGAATAAAAAATATTTGGCCAAGTTTAACTCGTAAAGAAAGTAACTGTTATTTACGGTCCCTTCAATATTCGCATTCGCAAAAGATCCGCATTGATTATTGCGAATGCGAAAGCGAATGCGAGTGTTAAAATAAATGCGGAAGCTCTGCGGTTGCGAATGCGAATGCGAATATTCGCAGCAACCCTGCTAAGTACCTATGTATGTACATAATTAGGCTAGGTACATCGATACCATGTGGTGAGCATACAAAACTAACCTTATTTGACAATGTCATAGTAGTTCTACTTTTTATTACTTTTCTTTGTTGGCACTCACTCTCCAGCGAGTAATTTGGACTACCTAAAGTTATTAGTAGCTGAGAGATTAACTTAACTTCAATTTGCAAACCCTTAATTTTTGTTTTTTGTGTTTTTGTGTTCATGCGCATTACAGTTGCGGTCATATAATTAGTACCCTTTCGAAGAACAAATTCTTTTTTGGTTTTTTTCTGGAATTAAAATATTTTTTTTTTCATATACATATTTACATATATGCATATATAGTACACATATGCATGTAAGCACTACGCACACAGCAAGGAAGGCCTTCTTCGCTTCGTGGGACTACGTTGCCGACAAGAGAAAAATGTAAGTGAAGTTTAGCCTTTCTTTTTTAATATTCAAGCCATTACTTTTTATAAGATAGTGAGTAAGCATATATTTATATATACATATATACATATATATACAGGTGTATGTACGTGTGAGTTGGTTAAGCTTGTTCGGTTCTAACTTTTCTGGAGGATCTGTATGTACATATGTATCAATACCAAAGGGTATATGAGTTAGTTCTCCTTTTGGTTTTAAATTTTGTTGTAAATATAAATATTTATATGAACCTGCAAATAAGCAGACATACTTACACGTGTACACTTGTGAGTTTATTTTTATTTTTATTTTGCTTTGTATTTACTTTTACTTTTTAATTTTTTTGTACCATATATGCGCACTCTTAAGCATACATAACTACATACGCGTTTACAAATATAAGGTAAAGCTTTTTTTTTGTTTTATTCGATTTGCGAACTCTTTATTCCGAAAGATCATTTTATGCGAAGTTGAATATTTTCTTTTTGCAAGTTTAGAGCACTAAATTCTCATTTTCATGTAAGAATCAAAAAGGGCAACTACACAGAGAAAATGATGCAGGTAAAACGCAAGTTTTTAAAAAAAATTGTAAAATAAAATTTTTTGATATAATTTTACTTCATACAAAATAAAAAATACAGTATTTGTACTTACGACTTTAAAACGAAACATTCGCAAAACAAAAACGCTTGTTGTTTTTATTGTTGGTTTGTACTAGGCTATTTTGATCAATTTGGCTTATGTGCAAGAAAAAACTTTCTTCACTTTGCTGCCCGACGTTTCGCCAAACTCCTTGGCATCTTCTGGGGCGTTTTCTTTATTAAATGATCAACAAGAAACAAACATAAGGACGTTATTGTTATAATATAATTTGTTAATATGTACACAAAACATTTGTACACACAAGAAAACAAGTAAAAAATTTTATATTGAATCTATGACAATTAGCAATTTTTAACATGATACTGAACTTTAAACACTTATGAGAAAACATTGAAAAACTTACATTTGAAAAATAAACTATTGTACACTTAACATTTAAAACTTCAAAATTTTAAACAGCGTTCATACCATCACCCTGTGGTACATTTGTCAAACTAATACTAAAATGGCTATAAACATAATAAGTATGCAGCCGCGATGTCGTCAGTGTCTTCTTTTTTGTTTATTGTTACATTTCTTTTTTGCAAAATTCTTAAACTCTCTAGTGTGTATCTTGTTTTTTCTCTTTTTTCCCTATCCACTATTCTCGCGTTAGTCAGATCAGCTGTATGGCCACTGGCTAGCACATGTTGGGCTAAAGCAGTGCTGTTTTTATTCTTCCTAATGTCGGCTTCATGTTCAGCTAGGCGAACTCCCAGTGGTCGTTTCGTTGTGCCGATGTACACCTTATTGCAGCCTTCGTTTTCGCTCCCTTTGCATGTGATTTCGTATACCACATTGCTTTGTTGGTGGGAGTCTATTGGAGATTTTGTGTTTGTAAATATTGAAGACAAGGTGTTGTTAGATTTGTATGCTAATGTAATGTTCTGATTGCTGTTTATTTCGC